TGTTTGGGTTTGAGGCTGCTGGTGCATTTGGGCTTGGGGAGGTCGGGGTGTGTGTGTCTGGCTGGGTTTTGGGGGGTCAATGTGTGCGTGTTTGGTGAGGTTGGGGGGGGTTAGTGTGTTAGGGTTTGGGGGTGTTGGTGTTTGTGTTTGGGTGGTCAGTGTGTGTGTGTCTGGGTTTGGGGTTGTTGGTGTGTTTGTGTTTGGGGGTCGGTGTGGTTTTTGTGTGTGGCTGGGTTTGGGGGTGTTGGGTGTGTTTGTGTGGTTGTGTTTGGGGGAGTGTACAGGTTTGGGAATGTTGGTGTATTTGTCTTTGGGGTGTCGTGTGTGTTTGTGTGGCTGGGTTTGGGGTTGTTGGTGTGTTTGTATTTGGGGTGTCGTGTAAATATTTGGGCTGGGTTTGTGAGGGGTCAGGGTGTGTTTGGTTGGTTTGGGGGGTTGGTATTTGGGTTCGTAGGAGCTGGTGTGTGTTTGGGTTTAGGGGAGTCAGTGTGTTTGTGGTTGGATTTGAGGACGGTGACTGTGTTTCTGCTTGGTTGGGTTTGGGTTTTTCTTCATTTTTCTCTTCTGAAAAAAGGTTTTATCTCTGTTGCCTTCTTGCATGCACCCATGTTTTCAGCTAAGTGACTCTTATTTGGCTTTTTGAAGAATGACTTTGTATAATCAAGAGGCTTCTTACTGTGGAGGAAGTACCCATACCATGTATTCCTTAGGCATTGTTGTTTCTTGGGTATCTTCACTGGTAGGAGTCAGCATCGCTGCAGGCACTGGGAGTGTCTTGGAGGCTCAGCCTGCTAAGGAGCAGCCCAGCAGTGAGTGGATCAAAGCAAAGGAGACAGGTCAGGACAGAGCTGTTATCCAGGAGTGAGTCTTGCATGAGGGCTGTGATCTGCTCTGCTCTCTCCTTTACTGCCACCGTCTGCCTTCTGCTGTCACCGCTGCTCTCTTGGGTTTTCTAGAAGCAATCAGGGCTTGTTCTCACCATAAGAAGCTTGGAAGACCTGCCTTTTTATGTCATTTAAATCTCTGAAATCAGAGCTAAAGCATTTTGTGCGGGCTTTTGGCCTTGACAGGGCTTTTATGTAGCAGCCCCTTTGTTAGTCCTTTCTTATGCCTTGTTCCATTTCATGTTCTAATTTACCTTTCCTCTCTCTTCCCCCTGAGCTCCTGTCTCATCTCTGGCTGTCTGGTCACATTCACCACTGTTGCAAAGAGCTGGTGCCAGTTCACTGTTCTTGCCTTGGCTCTCTGTGCAGAGCTCAACCTGCAGCTCACACTGCAGCTGCACACCAAGCTGGCTGCACTAAATGTATCCCTCAACAGTTTTGTCAGCAGTCCATGGTGTATTTTTCTTCTTAAAACAATAACATAGTCTTCCTGAGGTTTAATTTAGGTTGTAATAAAAAATTATCAAGCTAATCCTGCTGCAGAAATAGGTGTGATTGCTGCATACTATGACATTTTTCAGTCCTGTTTTGTTCTTAAACTTACAGTATTCATTATTTTAAGTAGAGTATTAAGGAGTTTTCCAAACAAATTGTTTCCTGGAGGCTGCCTACACAGATATGTACTCAGCTGAGGATTTAAAGGAATAAATTCCAGCTTAAGATTTCTGTCTCCTAGGGCTACAAATGCAATTTTTTCAAAAACTGGTACTACTAATGTCAAAAAGGGAAGCAGCAATTCACTGCTGATTTTTTCCTTAGTACTTTGGATGATGGAGTGGGCAGGCCAGGCTGTTGTCTTATACTTTCTCTGGCCCAGAGTGAAGAAGTACAGAAACAGTAAAGTAGCAAATTGCAAGAAATGGATAAGGCATAAAAATCACCTTCCAGATTTCCCTGCCTGAGACTACTTCATACTCTGTAAATTGCATGGTGCTCTGACTCATTTAGTTTCTTACTACAAATCATTTAGTTGGAGACGTAGTAATATTTTACTATCTGTTCGTTGTTTTACTGTCTGCCCTGTTTCATTTTCTAAAAGAGCTAGAGGATAAGGACTTTAATCTGCAGTGGTGATAGAACAAAACAGTTTTGTCAGGGGTGTCCTTGTGCTTTTTAAAAATTTTTTTTCTATCTAGCTTTTCACATTTGGTGTACTTATGTTCTTCCTGTTTTTATCACAGAGGTTTAGGATTACTTATCACTCCAATATCCATAGCTGATATCAGAGGACAAATTTCAGGTAATTCAGTGTGTGGGCAGGAGCCACTGACTAATTAAGAGGAATGCTAATAATCATTGGCATTTAGCTGTCGTCCACTTAGCGTAGGCAGTAAATGAATGGCGCACAAAAGCAGACTTTATTTTTTTTACTTTCTTTTCTGGCTGCATAATCCCTTTAATCCTTTGCTATCAGAGGTTTTTCTTAATTAAATGGAATCTCTGCAGGCTCAGTGATTCACATTTCAGGGCAAATACGTGTATTTAACGGGGGAGGGTTGGCATAGGTCTCACTGGGCAACTTGAGGTTTAAAACAATTCTTCCAAGGCTGTTTTGTAAATGAATGTGTTTTCCTTGGCAGTCAGCCGTGTAGGATCTTCACTGTTTAAGAGCTGTATTCCAGCTTAGCAAAGAATTCCTGCTGCAAGCATTAACTGATTTCCTTGTGATCACTGACTGATCTTGACTGGGGTAGAAAACTGTCCCTGGGAATGGGAGTGACACAGAGGAGCAGGAATTAACAAAGGTGAAGGAAGCAGATGTCAGATCTTTGCCTTTTGATGGGGCCAGTTGAATGTTTCTTGCTGCAATGGGATCAGAATCCTCTTTCCAATTCCCACGGGATATCTATGATATAAGAGGGTTCCAAAGAGCAGTGAGTCTTTAGTTGGATACTCTTATTCTTTTGCTAAGTGTGCATCTTTTATGAGTCAGAATTGTTACAGACTGGACCAATTCACTTGGTTATTTCTGAGCAGGCCTTCTACAGAAATTAAGAAACAAGGAAGATAAAACATGCTTGGAAGAGCTAGGATCTGTGGCCCTGAGCGGACAGCTGACTGTAAAAATTCGGAATATCAAAGGATAAGTCCCAGACAGGAGCTGCCCCCACCTCATACTTGTGCTGCCCTCACAGTCCCAGGGGAGCCCTACAAACTGACATCAGGAACCTGGACTGGTGAGTTTTCTTTCCCAGGGAAAAGAGCCGATGTTTGTGCTCTTATTTATAAACGTTATTTGGTTCTTATTTATAAACATGTCTGCTTTTAAATGTATTTGAAGTCTTTCATAGAAGTATAAATTTGCCAATCTCTTATGCTGCTTCTGTGGCCAGGTGATGTGCATCGTTGTGAAATGCTAATGTATCATCTGCACATATTTGACGACAGATGTTTGTCCCAACAAAATCTGTTTATCATTAATTCAGGACTCAGTACTCTCAAATGACACAAGTCACAGGTAAGATTATCCACATAATTCTTTGATTGAAAGGTTTTTTCTAACATTTTATTCAGAATGTACTTCTGTGAATGACTATTCCCTGAAACAGTCCAGAACTCCAGTTTTGGTGGAAATGTATCCTTTCTGGTCACTAAGCAGATTCATTTCTGCTTCAGCTATGGTACAGACAAGAAGGGGTTTGCACTTTATTTGAAGCATTTAAAAATATATGCAGAATTTATTAGCAACATGTAAAATTCCCACCAGATATTTTGAGTTACAGGATGTGTACATTAATTGTCTACATTATGTAGACAAGCAAAACTGTTCTTTTTATCTTCTTCTAAGATAAAGTCAGCAGTGACTAGATATAGTTAATGATGCAAAGGTGACTCTTTGATTTATAAATAGATAGCTTTTTAAATAGTTTGGGACTTTTCATGTGTCCTGTTCAAGCCTTCAAGTTTGTGTTTCTGTCGTTAATAATCACTCAGTTCTCAGGGTTTAAAGTACCATTAGAGAGAAGACTTGAGCTAGGGATAAAATAAAAATAGTTCACAATTCAGTCTTTTTACAGTTTATTTTCTCACGATATAAAACTTAGTATTTTATATTTACTTGTATGTAAGTTTATCAAAATGTGTAAGCGTGGCTTGGTGAAAATAATCTGCTATTGTAATCTGCTGAATTAAGAGATGGCTTGCTGTTGTTCAAATGCAAAATCACTTTCTCTTGCATTGAAATCAGAGAGAAGAAAATCACCCTTAACCTGCATATTGATGTGTTTTCATTTTCTTTTTTGAATAACATTTACTGAAGTAATAAAATATGTGAGGTTTGTAAATGGTTAAAAACAGTGTTGCGAATGTGGTGACTCAAACACGCATTTTCTTTTTTCTCAAGACCAAAGTTAAAAGTGTTTGATCAGAGAGACAAATACAGTGTCTGATGTTAAAATCTTTCCAACCTCAGTTACAAAAATAGTACCACAAAGATATCACACTTCCAGCTGCCATGTACATAACGTCAACTGGAAGATCAAAGCTGAATGATGTAGGGCTGAGGGTGGTGCAGTCCAGCTGCAAAGTCACAGCTATTTCTAAGTTCAAGTCAACCACAGCTTCTCTCAGTGTTTCCACTGCCCCCCTCAAGCCAATCAGTGTGACACAACAGCAGATGCTGCTGTGGAGCACTTTGCAGCTCAAGATTTTCACGGCTTCCTTTCCCCTGTGTGTGAGGATGGGTGCAGTGGTGAGGCCAGGGATGTTTCCAAGGGTGATGGGATGGAATGAGCTCCATCTGTATTTGCACACAAACCCCAGGACTGCTGGGTTTGGGCCAGACTTTGGGAGGAGCTGCTCCACACTCAAGAGGATGGCTTGTAGTAAGAGATTCTGAGTGTCACCAGTGACTCTACAATGTGTTACAAATCTCCTTTTTAGCTTCAGATACTTTTGGAATGCAATTAAATTATGGCTCAGGTAACATTAATGAGGGACCAGAAAACTATTCTGCACTTCTGTTAGAGCTTTTAAATGCAGTACTTCTTTCTAAATATAGATCAAGAACCACTTCTTAGAAATATCCTTACTTCTAGAGGAAGAAAATCAGCAAACTGCTTTGGAGGGTTTTTTTATTATTTTTTAAAGAAATATTTAAAAAAGCATTTTTCCCCAGTGGCTGGGCTATTTACTGCTCACTCAGGTGCTGACACCTGCTGTATTTACATAAACAGATTCTTGTTCTGTGTTCCAAAAGAAAATTCAAATGTGGCTGACTTGGACAGTTCAATTTTTAGTTCATCAGAAGATCTCTCAATTCTGTGGACTTGCCAGGATTCTGATATTCACCTTGTTCTTCCTCAGGGAAGTGGCAGCTGCAGGCATCATCTTCTTGAACTGACTGTTCAAGTGTGTGCACTGAAGAAAAAAAAAACAGATTTACAGAATCAGTTGAGTTGGAAAAGACCTCTGAGACCATTTAGTCCAACCTTTGACCATACATGTTGTAAGCCAGACCAGAGCTCTGAGTACCATGTCCAGTTGTTTCCTGAACACCTCCAGGGACAGTGACTCCACCACCTCCTGCGTAGCCCATTCCAATCTTGAACAACCCTTTTTGGGAAGAAATTCCTCCTCATCTCCAACCTGAACCTCCGCTGGTGTAGCTTAAGGCTGTGTCCTCTTGTCCTGTCACTGGTTGCCTGGGAGAAAAGACTGCTCCCCATCTAGCCACAACCACATTTTGGGGAGTTGTAGAGAGCAAGGTCTCCGATCCTTCTTCTCTCTTGACTAAACAACCCCAGTTCCCTCAGCTGCTCCTCAAAGACTTACCTTCTAGATTCTTCCCCAGCTTTGTTACCCTTCTCTGGACTCACTCCAGCACCTCAATATTTCTTGAAGTGAGTGGCCCAGAACTGGACAAATGTCCCCTTTCTCTTTCATTTATTCAGCCATCCTATTTCACCATCCCTCAGTCACAAATGCAGGATGTCAGAAAGAAAATCTTCCAAGTTATTCTATAATCTGAAATTATTCCTCTACAGCATGTATATCTGATAAAACTAATTTATCATACTTTGTTTTCCCTAATTTGGCAGGGCCTCTGGTGCTCTGTTTGTCATGGCAATAAAAGGAACACCAGCATGAGGGAAATAGATTTTTGGACTGCTATGGTCTTCTGTATTTAGAGCTACACTAGAAGATTCAGACCTTATCCTTAGAACAGAGGAAAGGAAGAGAGAGAGAACCCCCCAAAAAAACCAAACAAACCAACTATAAACAACATTGAACAGAATCAGCTTCATCTTTGTGCTGAACTCTTGGGCTTGCTCAGGATTTACTATCTCTCAGAGGGGAGTGCTGGATTCAGGCTGACTGTGCAGCTGTGTAGCAGCACACCCTGACTGATGTCCCTCTCCTGCTGCAGCCAGAGCTCCGGGACACTCACCCCAGGCCATGTGTCCTCTCTGTGAGCACAGAGAACTCCCAAGTGTTACAGCCACACAGGCCAAGGATGATGCTTGGAAGTCATAAACTGAACTGATCTTTAACTGGAGCAACTGAGTTTTTTCATCTCTCACAAATAGTCCACTTCTAAGGAAAAGCATGCACTTGACCTAACACCCACAGTGCTTTCTGCAATAAAAATTCCAAAACTGTTTCCCTTTCAGTTGCTTCTGACTTACAAGACCAAAAAAACACAAAGCTATTGCCAACTACTTTTGTAAGGCACTTAACTTGGATTCCTGACTTCTGTCTAGTTTCAAAAACAAAAACTGAAGACCACATTTATCTTACTTTTCTTGAAGACAGTGTGTAGTTTCTTTTTCTGCCAGACACTGAAGCAGATGCACAAAGGCAGCAGAAACACTATGCACGACAGCCCAGCCACAGCGAGAGAAATCCTGATCATGTCTGTCTGAACATCCTTCCCTAGGAAATAAATAACATTCTCTAAGCGTATTAACAGAACAAAGTTCTACTGCTCTTGAATTAGCTGAAAACTTTGTCTCCCATTCTGCTTCTGGATCAGTCTGCAACACTGGAAATGCATAAAAGGATTTTTAAATGGAAGGCTTTAAATAGAAGGTGAATGAGCTACAGTATGTTTAAGTAGGTCACAATTCTTTACCTCCATAAGCAATATTACACAATGGCTTACCTGGAACAGTGATAGAAAATGGAATTTTGAGAGATGTTGTAGGTATAGTAGTGACTGAAGTGAAATTAACTGAAGCGTCTTTGCAAATGACATCTTTTGCTGGAGTTCCAGGCTCCAGGACTTGGTTCCCAGAGCACCTGAAGGACATCAACAGCAAAATGGGGAAAAGAAAGAATTTTAAAACTTCAGCCAAGTTTAACAGCTGTAGCTTTTTTTTTTTTTTTAAGTTTACTTACATTGTCCAGTTTTTACAGGAGCCATTGGGCTGATCATTAAAGGTTCCGTAGCGGCAAGCCTGGCAACCTTCAACAGACAAGGATAGGTAAAATTGTACAAGATAACATTTAAAATGCAACATATTAAACATTATTTTTGCCTGCTTGTACAATGTCAAAATTACTAATTCATAAGCTGCTCTGAGTATGCAAGGCAAGTCTTTCCTTGTCAGCCACACACCAGTACAGTACTTGGCCAAAAAAACAATTGATTTGGCACAAAATGCCACAAACCACGCTTAATTCCAGAGTTCCCAGTTCAGTTTCCCTCATGCTGGCAGCCAAAGAACTGCCATGCAAAGGGAACTAACTGGTGATTAGAGCTTTAGTAGGGCTCAGAGTGTGGTGGGTTTTTCTGCTCCTGAGCTTACTCCACACACCGTGCACAGTGCTTAGCAGCAGTGGCAGCTCTTATCTTGCGAGGTCCTTCCTCTATCTGCTTCTGCACTGTGCAAGAGGCAGTGCAGTGTGTCTGGTGCAGCATGCAGAGGGGCTTTCAGCAGCTGGGGAAAGGTGATCCTACCGTTCCTGGTGCGCTCCTGGCCCACGCCACAGCTTCGGATGCAGTAGGTGCAGCCATCACCGCCGCAGCGATAGCCCTCCCTGCACGTGCATTCAGCATCACTCGTTGAGGAACACCTTTTCAAATACTGAAATAGTCCTGCAAGAGGAAGACCAGTTTTAGGCTACAGCGTGGTGCAGCAAAGGCTCGGACCTTTGCTCGCACAAGAATCAGGCTGGCGGCTTCGGCGAGAAGCCCCGCAGACACGCAGCCGGGCAGGTGCCAGCCCGGGCACGTCGTTGCCACGGGAGGTCCCAGCAGGGCTGGTGGCATCGCCGCCGGTACCTTGGCACTGCCGACACATCCTGCAGCTGCCGCGTCCCGCCGCGCTGGAGAAGGTGCCGGCCGGGCAGGGCTGGCAGGACGCGCCCGCTCCCCGTCCGCAGTCGGCGCTGGCTACGAACGTACCTGCGGGCCGAGACACGGCGGTCACCGCGGGCCGCGCCCGGCACACCCCGGCCCGGCACGGCCCGGCACGGCCCGGCCCTTACCCGCCGGGCAGTGAGCGGCGCACGGCAGCGCGGCCGCGGGTGCCGGGCTCAGCGCCAGCGCCAGCAGCGCCGCGGGCAGCAGCGCCCGGCCCGGAGCCATAGGTCGGAGCGGGGCGGCGCGGCCGGCGGGACTGCGCGCTGCGCTCCCGGCACCGGCCCTTAGCGGCCGCCCCCGAGGGGTCCGGCTGCGTCATCCCGGGGCGGCGGGGAAACCCCGGCCGGGCGGGACTTCCCGGACCCTCCCAGAGGCGCGACCCCTCAGCTCTGCCGGGCAGCGCCCGCAGAGCTCTCTCAGCGCTGCCGGTCAGCTTTTCACCAGTGGGGCTTCCCGGTGAGTGTGGCCTGGAATCCCCGGGAGGTGAAAGGCGAGAGGCGGGGCTGGCAGACCGCAGCCGTGCCGGAGGTGCTGAAACCGCACGGGCACCGCAGGCACCGGCGGAGCGCCCGGAACCGCCGGTACGGGAACGGCGCGGCCGCGGCCCCGCCCCCTGCGGGCCCTCGCAGCCAATCCCGTGGGTCGGCCCCGCCCCCTGCACATCCCCGCAGCCAATCCCCGCAGCGCGATCCTGTCCCTCAGCCAGGCCCGGAGCGCGGGCAGGAGCAGACGCGGTGAGCGGTGCGCAGTGCGCAGCTGGGGCTGAGTTATAACTGAGAAGGGAATGTGTCTTCCGTGGGTGTGAGCGCTGCGCAGTTCGGTGCTGCGTTATAACTGAGAAGGGAACGTGTCTTCCGTGGGTGTGTGCCCGCCACACGGGCAGCCAGAGCAGCGCCCAGCCTGTCCAGGGTTCTGAGCGGAGTCCGCTGTGGGCAGCACACAAAGCGCCCCGTGCCGGGAGCTGAACCCCGCCCCGATCCCAGCAGAGCCCTCAGCCAAGTCCTTCCCTGGCCTCCCCTGGCCTCCAGCTGCTCTGCCGGAGCTCTCGGGAGCCCGGCCCTCAGGAGCCAGACCGGGCTCTGCCAGCACAGCACAGCTTTGCAGCCCTAAAGGTCCCCGTTAACAGCTCTGTCTGTCTGGGCTCGGCTGTGCTCGGTGCGTGCGGGGCGGCGGCAGCAACAGCAGCTTGGTTGGCCGGAGGAGGTGCCTTTGTCTCGATGGGGCACCGGAGCGCTCTTTGCGCTCCGAGAGGCCGTGAGAAAAGCGGGGCGGAGCCGGGGCGGTGCCGGGGCGGAGCCGGGGCGGTGCCGGGGCGGTGCCGGGGCGGAGCGCCCCAGAGCCGCCCGCGGCCCCGCTGAGGTGAGTGGTGCCGCCGGGCCGCGGAGCTCTGCCGGGCGGGCGGGGGGTGTCGGTGTGGGCGGAGGGTTCGGCGGCCGGGCCGGGTGTGGTTTCGGTGCCCAAGCAGCCGCCTTACAGGGCACTGAGCACCGCCGTGCCCGCGGGGAGGCCTCGGCCCCGGCACGGCCCGTGCTGTCCCTGCTGCGGGGAATGGCGCCGCGTCCAAGATGAAAACATGGGGATGCGGCCTCCAGCCGTGCCCTGCCTGTGAATAGCGGGCTTTGCGCTGTGATTCTTGTTTAAAGCCACCCTTGTTAGAGTTTCTGATTCAGCGTGTGAAAGATGCATATTTTATGATTGGCTTTTCGCAAATGTCACGATGAATATTATATGTGTAATGTTAGAAAGTTATGCTGTATTAATTCTCCTTATATAGCGTGTTAAATGTAGTTTTAGGTTACAGCAGAATGTTAAAATAGAAACTCTGCGATACAGGATTTGTTGCAAGCTCAAGCAGGAGGATGAGATAATCAAGAAACTTCACACAGAGATGTCAGCGAAGGGGGCCCATAAAAAATTACAGCCTCCTTATCAGAAAAGACAAACATTCTTCCACCTTCTCTCCATCTTTGTGGAACCAACAGGATTAAGGAGAAGAAGTTGACAAAAACCAGAAAATTCTTAATTTGCAAGGAATTTATGCATCATGTATGAGATATGTGAATATGCAACAGGCTATTGCTTTTAAGGTTATTCCTTTGGTATGCTTTTTGTGACTTAGTGTCCGAGAGCATCCGGGCATCCATAATTCTTTGCCTTCTCTTCTCTTGTAATTGTCCTAACTCTAAACTTTATTAAACTTTTAAAATTTTTGAAAACCAAGTGATTGGTGTTTTTCACAAGTTCGAGTCACCATCTCCAGGAAGGCACATGTACCCACGCAGGGCTCTACGTTTGGCTGATAGGTTTGAGGCGACCTTAGCTGGCGCTGAGGAGCAAATGGGAGGTTGGCATTTACTGTGTGTAGGTAGCTTGTTAAATGACTTGTTAAACTAAGTTGCTGTTAGGTCTGTGTAACATAGTTCTGCCTTCTCAAAAACTGTCTTTCCGTAGTGGTGGGACAGTTATTTACATGTATACCCACATGAAGAACCGTTCTAATGCTAAAGAATTTGGTGGCGTGGTACAATAAATATCTAAAGGCACTATGGAGAGACTGTGTTTTGTAAAACTAGGAGAAAGAGTAAAGGTTTCAGGATCAGGTGCCTGTTTTCATCTAAAGAATTAATGAAAGGGATGCAAACTGTGATCTATACAATTTTTCTTCAATAAAAAGCAAATGCAGCATTTCTGTATGGTGGCTACTCAGGTAGTTTATTGCTAATCAAATTCATATGAAAATTTTGCAGAATCACTGTATACCCTCAAGCTATTAAGAAGGTCTAGGTTGTTCTGAAGTTATTACTAGTACCTGTGATTTGGGTGTACTTGATCAGTGGGCTTTGCCTTGACAGTACATAAAGCTGCCCTAAAAGTAGGATTTGACACAGTGAATTATTCTGCTTGGGCTGGTTCAGCATGCTGTAGGATGTTGTGCTGTATATTACTGCATCCTAGAAATAATATTCTAAAGGAGGCTGTCACTAGGGAGAAGACCTGAAAACAGATGAAGTTGAAGCAGGGTGAGGATGATTTTATTTTATGTAGGCACCTAAACATGCATCACATTTTACAAATAGCTCCCAGGTATTACATGCAGTTCTAGATGGAAGGTCCCTGCATAGGACAGATATCTCTGTCTTACAGAGCAGAAACCTGTGAAATGCCTCCTCACATCACAGGTGCTTTCACAGACTTCTCTCAGACCTGTATGAGTTAGTGGGTATTTTACATGATGTAAAGTTATTTTAACTTAACCTTCAAATGGAAATTTGGCCATTTCACCTCAACTTGAGTTTAGAAGTTTAAAAAAAAAAATGTCTTAAGCCTGGTTTGTTCCATTTGCTAAATCCTGTGGTCTGCTCCCCCATCACACATGTGCAGATGTGTTTCTTCCCCCACAAAGTTGCAAAATAACCCAGAAAATCTGTTGGTGAGATTTTGCAGGGGCACTGGTCGACTCACTGTGAAGTCACAGGAAACTCCTCATGCAGCATGCTGGGTGGAAACTAAAAACCAGATGTGAGGTCAAAGCTCATGCAAGCCCTTTTTGTAAGTGCTGACCTGGGTAGGAGTCAATCGTCTCGGAATGAGTGAGGGTGTGCAAATTGAAAACAGCTCTGCCACCCACCCTGAACCCCTTTCTCAGGCAGACACAGGTCGTGATTAAGGTCTTGATTAGGCCAAGGTGCTTCCTCTTCTGGTGCTGATGTGCTGTGCCTCCCACTTGCACAAGTGCCTTAATCTTTTAATATCATAATGCATTCTTTTTAAAAAGCTCCTTAGTTAAACAGGATGGCTATGCATATTGATTTAAGCTGGTGAATTTTGAGGTGGTTTAAATGAAAGACCATGCAAAAGTACAAGTTACTGTTCAGTTTCAACATAAGGAAGGATTTATATGAGGGGGTTTGCCTTCTAACCACATTGTCTTTTTATCTCCCTCAGCCCCTTCCTTCACAACCATCTCCCTAACAGCAGCCCCTCAAGACATGGCCTCCAAGAGAGCGTTGGTGATTCTGGCTAAAGGGGCAGAGGAGATGGAAACTGTAATCCCCACTGATGTTATGAGAAGAGCTGGGGTGAGTGTGCAGACAGTGAATAATCTCTGTGTGCGCCTGATCAAGGGGAAATCATTGCCTCAAGTTGATGTTCATTTCCAGGAATTCAGTGTGTGCTCTGGGAAAATTTACCCTCATGACCTTACTGGTTAGCAAATGCACCTAATGAGCATGCCTGACAACTGACATTTGTTGGTAACCTTTCAAAGTACAAGTCTGATGTGGACTAGAGCAAATATTTCAAGTAAATCAGAAAACACAGCTACTTCCATGTATAGTAATGGGAAGTTCCTCTTTTGTAGGGGTCTGAAAAGCTCAGTACATTACAACTCATGACATTGCTTAGCTTTTCTTGAGCTGCTTTTGAAATTCAGTTATTAACTACAGTTCTGGCTGTTGGGATTCCTTACTCTGTTTGTTACTCCTGCAGTTGTAGTAGCACACTGTTACCATTTCATTAGGAATGAAAATAATACTTTAAATAAACACACCAACCTCACTTATATAGAAATGACTGAAATAAAAATTGCCTTCTCCCACCACTTTTGTCATTCCATCACTGTGCTCCCCATTTTGGCTGTCATAAGAGGAGCAAGCTCTCAGTACAGCTTTGTTTGTTCTGTGTAATGCTTAAGAACATATAAGAAAGATGTCCTAAATTCTTGTTTTGTAATAATATATATTTGTCCTCCTGTTAGATCAAGGTGACTGTTGCAGGCCTAACAGGAAAAGAACCAGTGCAGTGCAGTCGAGATGTCTTCATTTGTCCTGATGCCAGTCTTGAAGATGCCAGAAAAGAGGTTGGTCATCACCCTTCTCTGATATAATGGCCAGCATAGTCTCTCTCACAGTTTCTGAGGTGAATTTGGAAAGCTTATGCATTACCTTTGGAAATATATTGCATGTTGTGTTAACTCTGTGTGGCAGTGAATTACAGAACTGTACATCCCACTGTGCTCCCCTTCAGGGATATGCTGCTTCACAGCCTGCTAAGTTCAGATATATTTTGTATTTCTGCCCAGGTGTTTGATTTTCCAAAGGGCCAGTCACAGAGCTGTATTTTCCTGTTACTTGGCTCGACAAAATACTGTGATTTGAGCCAACTCAAAAGTTCTGATGAGAAGCTAAATAATGTTATAGTTAGACCTGGACAGTAAGGTTGGAGCAAAACCACTTGTCTTTACAACACAAGAGCTGTCACT